CCGCGTCGTCGTTGTTGTCGTCCTCGTCGTCGCTGGGGGAGCTTGCTGCGATCTCGGCGGGACACATGTTCGGGTGCAGAAAGAGGGCGGGCGGTTTTGCTATGGCGTCGGGGCGCGGGAACAGCCGCCAGAATTGATTGCCCCCCCAAAACGCCGACAAATGCGAGCATACTTATTCGAATCGAGGGTTGAAAGCGGAGGAAGACTATGTGAAGCATGGAGTCTCGAAGCATCCCCCGTGGGATCTGCACGTGGATGTACGCGGACACACGCATGGGATCTGTCTTTTTCTATCCGGAAATTGCTTGGAATGGGAACCTGACGCGTTATCAGCGAGACCCATAAGCGGATGCTGGAAGCGAGGCCTCGATTTTCCAGCCTTCGCGTCAGGGGACTCTTCCTCTCCGTCGGGTTCTTCATGCCTGGAAGTATGCTCTGCAGCGGTTGATCTGCGAGATGTTGGCGCCACCGGGCCGCAATTTTGTTTATCAGATATATCTTCGAGGGCCCCGGTGCAGGGACCTGGGGCTCTCGAAGGAGGAGGAGGAGGAACAGGAGGACGAGGAGGACGAGGAGGAAGAGTAGGCGGAGGAGGAGAAAGAGGAGGACGACGACGAGTCGGAGGATGCGGAAGGGGAAGGGGGGGGAGGAAGGGAGGGGGAGGAGGAGGGGAGGAGGAGGAGGAGGAGGAGGAGGGTAAGGAAAAGGACGGGGGGAGGAGGAGAAGGAGGAGGAGGAGGAGGAGGGGGAGGAGGAGGAAGAGGAGGAGGAGAGGGGGAGGAAAAGGAGGGAGAGGAGGAGGTGGAGGAGGAGGAGGAGGCGAGCCTTTTTCCTCTGCAATCCCAGAGGGCAGGACCAAGCACACCTTCGTGCACGACGCAAGCCCAGCCAGCAAGCTCACGACAACTGGACGCGCGGCTGCGCATAAATGCATCGGCCACCCCAGCCACCGCTCCCACGCCAGCTGGGGCAGTACAAATAAACTCACACGACGAATGTCTGCCACGAGCCGCGCCTCCAGGAAGCGAGCACACGGCAACTGGGCGACAATTACGCAGTTAAGCTTAAACAGTTGCCCCAGCCACCGCTCCCACGCTAGCTGGGGCAAGTTAATCAGATTCACACGACGAATTGGCGAGTCCTTCTCATGGGCGAGTCGCTCACGCACCCGCTGCAGCTCCGAAACACACCCAGACCCGCCGCCCCCACTCCCCGCCCCAGAGTGAAGGAAGTGAGCCGCGTCCTCATCCGCCGAAAAATCTGGGAGGATGTCGGCGGCCTGCGAGCTCGACGCAGCAGCGGCCACAGGCCGAACCAGCCCATCGCCGTCCACAACAGAAGCCTGCGGGAGAGGAGGAGGCCCGCTCGAGGCACCCTGTGCAGCCTCTCTCGCCTGCACACGGGCTAGGATGGCTCGCATTCCTGACGTCTGCACCAGCCTCTCGAGGCCGTGGGTCGCGGGCGCGACCTCGGGAGGAGGAGGAACGGTGGTGGCATAGCACAGGTAGCTTACACCACGGCGGGACGCCTGCGAGACACGATCATCTTCATTCCTGTAGTGCGGGTGTAGGCCAGCAAGCATGCGGGGCACCGTGGTCTTTGCACCAGGCAGCCGCTTACCAATACATTCCTGGCCTAACTTATAGCACCTACGAGACGAATAGGCTCCGCACGTCGTGCAGAAAAACATGGTGGACACCTTATCTCTACGCGAGACCTGAGTGTGAGCCAACGTGTGGCCCTTCGTAAAATCGAGGATCCCTTTCCATGTTTTATTGGGGCCCTGGCAGCCCAGCATGGGTCGGGTATCAGGGTCGGTGGTAAACAAAAGGCACCTCAGGCACCTGGCTCGGCCCCCCTCCAGAGTTTCCCAGTGGTGTCAGCCGCCAGACCTGAGGATTCTACATCTAGGGCCCGTCGTAGTCCGATCGAACCTTTCAGGGGGAAAGACAGCCAAAACCTTGGCCGCGACACGGGCCGCGAATTTTAACTTGGCCAGGTTGGCCTGCAACAACTCCAGTTCGTGCTGCGAGGGTTGAAGGTGAAGGGAGAGGGCGTACTTGGCAAGGGAGTCTGCGCTCCAGTTGCCAATCGCTATACGTTTTTTTTTCAGGGGGCGGCGAGCTATGTGCGAGGTGGAGGCGGAGGAGGGGGAGGAGGGGGGGGAAGGAGGGGGAGGGGGAGGAGGGGGCGGAGAGGCAGGAGGAGGCGGAGGGGGAGGAGGAGGACGGGGAGGTGGTCGGATTTCTGAACTAACCGTCTTCGGAGCTGTTCCGTGGCCACGGCTAGAACCTAAGCGCGCGCGAAGCGCGCGCGCGTGGTTCTAGTGTGTATACATGCTTGTGTTTGTTTGTATGGGTGTGTTTGTTTTCGTGTGTGTGTGTGAGAGAGAGTCTGTTGGTTGTGGTTGTGCGTGGTTGTGTGTGCGCGTGTGTGTGTGTGTGCTTGTGTGTTGTGTCTTGGTGTGTGGTGTGTGTGTGTGCTTGTGTGTGATCGTGCGTTTGTGTGTGATGTGTGTGTGTGTGTGTTTGCGTGTGGCTACGTGCGTGTGTGTGTGTGTTTGTGTGTGTGTGTTTGTGTGTGTGCTTGTGTGTGTGATTGTTTGTGCGTCTGTCTGTGTGCATGTTTGCGCTTTACTCTCTAACGCTGCTCTGGTGATTCAGTGGCCGCAATTAGCCCTTGACTGTCGCGCTTCAGTTCGCTGTGAGTTGAATGTTCTCCTCGTTTGCTGGCCGCTGCATGTTCCGTTTAGACTTACAGTCGCCCTGACATGCCCATCATGTGCATGCTGCAGTGTGCGACGCTTTGTACGCTGCGCCTTCGACAATGCTCGGTCGCAGTTCGCATTTTCATCAGCTGCTCGCGATTGAGGATCCTCTGCGCCGCCGGCTAAACAAAGTGTCTGTGTGTGTTTGTGTGCGTGCGTATGTTTTTTTTGTGTGCGTGTGTTTGTGTAGGTGTTTGTGTGTGTGTGTGCTTGTGCTTGTTTGTACTGATTTGTGTTGGGTTGCGTTTGTTTGTGCTTGGTTGTGTTTGTGTAAACTTGTGTGTGGTTGTTGGTGGTGTTGTTGTTGGTGTTGTTGTTGTTGCTGTTGTTGTTGCTATTGTTGTTGTTGCTGCTGTTGCTGTGTGTGTGTGTGTTTGTTTGTGCTTGCTTGTGATTGTTGGTTTCTGTGTTTGGTTTCGCGCGTTCGTTTGTGATTGTTTGCGTTTGTGCGTATATGTGTTTATGTGTGCGTGTGTGTTGGTGGGTGTGGTTGTGTGTGTGGTGTGTGTGTGTTGGTAGGTGTGGGTGTGTTGGTGGGTGTGGGTGTGGGTGTGCGTATGTGCGTTTGCGTGTAAGTGTGTGTGTGTGTGTGTGTGGAAATGTGTGTTTGTGCAGATCGAGCCTGTGAATATCCCCTTGAGGGCCTGACAGCGCGCGCACTGGGTCCGACATTTCTCCGCCTCGACGCTGCGCCCGAGACCCCGGCCGCCAAAAGTGTGTGTGTGTGTGTGATTGAGTGTGTGTGTGTGTCTGTGCGCATGTGGCTGCGAGAATGGGCGTGGTCAGGCAACCGAGCCCTTATGTTTGGGCCTTCTGCTCTGCTCTGATGAGGCCACAGCGCGCGTGAGGGGCTCCACGAAATCTATGCAAGGTGTGCCAGAGTGGGCGTGGTAGAGGCACACTCGCCCTGCCATGTGAGCCTTCTATGGAGCTTCCATGGGGCCACGAGACGCTTCAGGGGGTGCCAGAATGTGTATGGTCAGGCATACGAGCCCTTCCCATTGTGACTTCCGTGGGCCTCCTGTGAGGCCACGAAACGTGTGAGGGGTGTGCTAGAACGGGCGTGGTCAGGCATACGAGCCGTACCATGCGGTGCGGGCTTTCTCTGGAGCTCCAGTAGGACCACGAAGCGTGTGAGGTGTGTGTGCGTGTGCTAGAGAAGGCAAGGTCAGGCATTCGAGCTTTGCCACGTGGGCCTTCTGTGGAGCTCCTCTGGAGCCACGGGACGTGTTAGGGATGTGCCCACATCGGCGCGGTCAGGCATACGAGCCCTGCCATTGGGGCCTTCTGTGTAGCTCTTATGAGGCCATGAAGCGTATGAGGGGTGTGCCAGACTGGGCACACGGAGGAGGGCAGCGGCAGCAGGGAGGAGGGGGCAGCGTGTGGCAATGGAGCGCGGCGCTGCTAAACTAAAACGAGAACCCAACAACCCAGGATGGTTGGGAACAAAACACGTGCTGTAACGAGCAGTAGCACGCAGCGCCGAACAGCACGAAGCAGCTGTCAACGACGGCAATCGTTAGAATAGGCTCGAGCAGCAGCGCTTCCCGTGGTGCCCAGAGGTCGTTTTCGTGTGTCCCAGGACGGCCGCGAGCTCCGAGAACGTGTTTCCGGTGTGGAGATGTGCTGCTTTTGGTCCGAGGGGTCGCGCGCGTTCTCTCCGAGACTTTGGTGGAGTTCACGTCATATGAAGCCGCTCAGTTGCCAAGTTGAACAAAACTTCCAAGGATCATGCAATGGTGCGATTATTGTCCGTGTGCTGCTGAAGGCAGATGGCACATCTGCCGAAACCCAGCCCGCGCTTCCTGATTGCCCCCGCGACGGGGGCTCGTGATGTTATTGCTATGCCTCTTTTCGCAGGGTGGAAAAAGGGGGAGGGGGAGGAGGCCCCCTTCCCTCCTCCTCCCCTTATCCCTCTTCCTTGGTATCCGGGCACATACTGATCGCCACTCCGATTCCACTCCTGCTGCTGCTGCTGCTGCTGCTCCTTCTCCGATCCCGCCTCCTCCGCCTCCTCCTCCCCCCCCCTTTCTTTCTCCCTTCGTCTGCGTTCCTTCATCCCTCTCTCCCCCCTGCTCCTCCCGCTCCTCCTTCCGCTGATCCTCCTCGCCTCGGGGGGGGGCGCACGAGGGCAGGCGGAGCCCGGGCGGTCCGCGTCGAGCGGCTGCGGCGGGGCCTCGTCCGCCGCAGGGTGAGTTACTCACAGGCAGCCCGCGCAGTGAGGGCGAGCAGCTCTCCAAGGCCCCCCCCTGCATCCTCCCCCTTCGGCCCGTCCTCGGCCGCTCTCGCTGTCCGCGCCCGGCCCGCAAAGCGTCGGCATGGCCCCTCCAGGGCCCCTGCATCCTTACCGCGCATCCTCGTTCTACGGGTTGGCTGCACGCTCTTCTCGATCTGGTTGGTGGTTGCCGTGGTGCCGAGCCGCTCTGGGGACCGTCGTGCTGAGTGGAGGGAAAGACCACCCGAGGGCAGGTGCCGTCCTGGGAGATGTCGCTGGTCCTGTCCGTGCTCCCCCCTCCGCGTCCCCTCCTCCTTCTCTGTCGCCACTCCTCGTCCTCATCCTCCTCCTTCCCTGTTGTCCCCTCCCCTGTCATCCTTATCCACCTCCTGGTTATCATGATAATCGTTTCATCACTCCCCAGCCCCGCTCCTTGTCATCATATTCGTTCCTCCTCGGTCAGGAGCCCTCACCACTGTCTCATCTTTATACTCCTCCTCATCCTCTTCTTCTTCTTCTTATTCTTCTTCTCATCGCAATCGTGATCGTCATTATCATCATCGTCATCATCATCATCAGCATCATCACCATCAGCATCGTCATCAACAACATCAGCATCATCATCAGCATCATCATCATCATCATTAGCAGCATCAGCATCGTCATCATCATCAGCGTTATCGTCATCATCATCATCATCATCATCATCATCATCATCATCATCATCATCATCATCATCATCATCATCATCATCATCATCATCATCATCATCATCTTCATCGTCATCATCATCATCATCAGCATCATCATCATAATCATTAACATCATCATCATCATCACCACCATCTGTATCATCATCGTCGTCGTCATCGTCGTCAGCAGCATCATCATCGTCGTCATCGTCATCGTCATCGTCATTAGCATCATCACCCACATCAACAACATCAGCATCAGCATCATCATCATCAGTATCAGCGCCATTATCATCAGCATCAGTATCATCATAATCATCACCACCATCATCATCTTCATCTTTCATCACCATAATCTTCGTCGTCGCCATCGTCATCGGCATCATTCTGATCATCATCAGCAGCATCATGATCACCGTCGCCATCGTCATCGTCATCATCAGCATCGTCATCATCATCACCATAATCATCATCATCGTCATCATCATCAACATCATCATCATTATCATCACCATCATAATAATAATCATCATCATCATCATCATCATCATCATCATCATCATCATCATCATCATCATTATCATCACCCGTGTCCACCCCTGCTCCGTCCTCGGCACCGCTGCGGTTATCCTCCTTCTCACCAGGGTCTTCAACTTCTCGCACGAGGCAGCGAACGGTCGCACCAGCAGCGTTGCGCAGGAGGGCATCCGGTCCCCCTAGCGGCGGCGCCCGCTCTCTCTCTCCCTCTCTCTCTCTCGTCTTCTCCTCGTCCCTCTCCTCCCCTTCCCCCTGAAAAGTTACACACACCACCACACGTACATACTTACACTTACACTTACACTTATACTTGCACTTACACTTACACTTACACTTTCACTTTCACTTTCACCTTCACTTTCACTGACACTCACACTGAGACTTAGACTTAGACTATGACTTAAACTTAAATTTAACCTTAGACTTATACCCGCACACGCACACACACTTTTCGAGCGTCAGCGGGCAGGATAGCTCTCCATACTGTCAACCCTCGCACGCCAGGCGCGCGCGGGCAAGTAGTCGGCCCCTCACGGGGCAGTGGCAGGGCAGCGGCCGGGCCAGCCAGGCGGGCGGCGGGCGAGGCAGCAGAGCTGGGCCGGCGGGGGCCACAGCGGCGGGCGGCAGCAGAGCTGGGCCAGGGCGGCTGGGCAGCGAGGCGGGAGGGGGTGGTCGGGCGGCAGCGGGCAAGGAGCAGGCCAGTGTGAGGCGGGCGGTCGGGCGGCGCGGGGCCGCCCCAGAAGGGGTGGCTGCGCCAGCGAGATAGCCAGCGCGGACAGCGAGGCGCCAGCAGGAAGGGCCTGCGGGCCAGAGCGACCGACACGGAGGGACCTCTGTGGATCACCAATGGCGGGAAAAGTAGCAAAAGAGGCCACGAGGACGCCCGTCGAGGCGGCGCCGGAATCCTCGAGGCGTGCACCAACGTGATCGTGCCAGAGGGTCCACCCTGGAGATCGAATGAGGGCGGGAGGGCAGGCAGCAGCCCTGAGAGCGCAGCTGGACACGCAGGGAGAGCCAGCGCAGCCTGCAGGCCGCGGGTGCGCGAGCGGCGTGCCGCCGGGGTGAGGCGGCGGGCGTCCAGCAGGGGGCTCGAGCCTCCCAGAGCGGACGGAGGGCCCCGGGCGCCACGCTCAGGGCAGGAGAGGCCGCAACACAGACACACACACACACACACCCACACCCACACCCACACCCACACCCACACCCCACACGCACACGCACACGCACACGCACACGCACACGCACATGCACACGCGCACGCGCACGCGCACGCGCACGCGCACGCGCAC